CATCATTAAGTTGATTCTCTGCCTCTTTTTCTTGTGTCCTTATTATCAGCCTGATTTTCATTCTTATATAGGAGTCTGATTTCATATGGATTATCAGAAGCAATTTTTTACAAATCAAATCTCATTCTTAATGTGCTTTGAGGAGGTTTGATAATCATTTTTTACAGAAAATTTATCTGCATGATGAGCTTTAAGCATTTTTATTTTTAATGAATTTGTGCAGCTGAAATGTGGAAATTGCGGAGAGGTGACACAGAAAGAGACTTGTGTGAGCTTGAATGAAACTGTTCCTTCTGCAAAAGGCAAAAGTGATGTTCATCTTGCTCAGAAGGTATAATTTCACACCTCTGCTCTTGCTCTTGCTCTTGCTCTTGCATGAACCAGTCCATTAGTTTTTAAATTCCTTTTATACTTGGGTGTTTGTGCTTATCTGTGCATGCTAAATATATGAGGCTATGAGCATATGTGACACATTCTGGGATTTAAACTCTGTGATCAAATAATTTTCTGCAAGGAATATGCTGAAGAGAGAAAGGGCCCTGTAAATATTCACGGGAAGATTAAGTGTGAAAAGCTCGAATAGTTTAATAAATATTGATTTGATCTATCTTGTCTTTATTAATCTTTTGTCATATTTGGTCACTTTTGGATTCTTGTGATTTTTTTGGGTATGAGTTTTGTAAGTACTAAACATTCTATTTGATCTCTTCCATTCCCAGTGTAAATTTTGTTCTAGGGAAGGAACTGTTACTATGATCACTGGCCGAGGCTCTCCTCTTACTCAGGACCATGCTGAGGCTGGAAAGCATGCACCTCTGATGTTATTTGACTTCAGAGGCTTTGAGCCCGTGGATTTTGTATTTGGTAGTGGGTGGAAAGCTGAATCTGTAAGTGAATGCTTGGGTACATGATGCAGTTGATGATACTTTTGCTTTTCTAAACCTTCTAATGTTACTTTGCTATCTTATTGAGTCTTGAGTCTCCTTCATATGAATCTTGATGGTCTGCTTGTGGCATTCCTTTGACTTCTATTACTTGATTAGGAAAGAAATTACTTGATTATTCTTTTCATTCCTCCACATGCATACTTTTAGCTAGTGTTTGGAAAACAAATGCTCACCATGCTTATATTTTGGCTCGGATACTGTGCAATTTACAGTTACTTCTTTTCGAGTAGCATTAGCTGAGTTCAATCGCACAATATTATTAGTGATAAATGGATTTTTATAGCTACAATATGCTATTATATTCTCAGCTTTATCGATTTTTAAGTCAAAAATGCTCCTCCGATACGTTTCCCTTTTACCCTTTGGATTTTTAAGGGGTAAAACGATCCTTTTTCTGGAGGAAGGACGTGGTATAAAAATTTGCTGACTTCTTCAGACCTTTAGAAAGGCGCAATAATCACTGAAACAATTATGCTTTTAGATATCGTAAGATTGTCTGTTGGAACCTGAAGTTTCTGTGTGATTGATTTTCTTTCGTTTTTCAGGATACGTTGGGCAGTAACTCATAAATATTTTCTGTAGCGTAGCTGTAACCTTGCTAAATGCTCTAAACTATGTGACAAGGAGTTCCCAAAATTAATTTGTATTTGAATCCTAAGTTGCATTCCAATCTTTATTTTCTTCTTCTTGTCATATAGTGTTGCTGTGCTATTACTTCATGCTGACCTTTCAAATTTGTTTCATTCACTTACTTTCTTAGATTTATTTCCAATTTAAATTAAAACAGCTGCAATGACCAGACTGCTGCAGTACATGGAGGGGAAAGAGAGTTATTGTTCACGATCACTTTTACACTCATGAAATCTTCCTAATTAGGTTTGGCTAACATGCCATGCACATTGCTGCTGCACTTTGTTTACGACATGGTTCGACGTAATTTGGGATACGTGTTAGATTACAATTTCGTTTGCATTTTACGTCACACTCTGTTCTCATGCTAGTAAAAACTGTTTACTTGCATAAATGTGATTTTATGCCCATTTGCATACTATATTTATTACCCCCATTTGAATGCTATTTTTGCAAGTTATACAACGCCAAATAAATTTTTAAAAAAATAATAAAATAAAATTTCAAGTTAGCAATATTCCCTTTAAATTGCCTTCACAATTATGTGCATATGATAGGTGGATTTCATAATCTGCTAACATGTGGCATATCTCACTGTAAGTGATTTTTATGGAATTTCTTCACTTACACATTCTGTCTGGATGAGTAAATGTTTGTTATGTACTGTATCAATCTTACATCTTTAGATTGCTGGCTTAAGATTCTGTTTTTGTTTATTTTGTTTTATTTTTCTGTATTATCTTTTATGTAGATCAGAGGAACGAAATTTCACGACATTGACTTGTCGGGAGGAGAGTTTGCTGAATATGATGAGAAGGGAGAGTGCCCAGTTATGATTTCCAACCTTCGTGCTACATTCAATGTTGCGAAGTAGGTATTCTACTTGTGTTTGTTTTGTTATTTAAAATGGGAAGTCAGATAACTTGTTTCCGGGTGAAAATAACTACTTTGTGGGATTATGTTGAAATGATTATAGTCTTGTACAAAGTCACGTACAAACTTCTAAACATATTTCGGAAATGCACCTCGTGTTATTTGTTCAAGTGCACTTGCACAATTATTGAAATTTCATGCCTAATACTGGCAGTGTGTCTCATATAAGTTAGTTGCATTTAACTAGTGGCAGGCCACATGGCTTAAGAACTATGGTGCCCTCCTGATCTTATTGATTGTTAACAATTTGTAACTACATTTATTGTAGCTTAATGTTATCCAAATTGTTGGGGTTTTCTCTCGTGCTACTTTGTGTAAGGGCTAAAATTTGGATTTAGGTCAGGAATTGATGACAGTCATCCCAGTAATCTAAGTTTTGCAGGCTAGTTATATTGGTCATTCATGCTATTGTATTAGGTTGCCATAGCTTCCTACGTTATATAGAAAGGGGATCATTTTTCTGTGAGGTATGACAGGGATGGGAGGAAAACTTTGATGTCGTTATCTATTATTGTGAAAACTGATTGGTCCTCATTTGGCGGGGCTTCTGCTTCTCTCGTTGGAAGAGTTTGCAGAGAAAGCCGCTTTTATAACATGATAAATGACTTTTAGAAAAATTATTCAAACAAATTTAAAAGTAGCTTCTTAGCATTAGAAACATCTTGTGACAGGCCCTAAATCCACGCGTGAGTATTATTGCTCTGGGGAGTGTACAATGTTAATAGTTCATATTTGATAAGAATTCAGTCAGAAAGCAGACCTCATTGTGGATTGAGCATGGCCGTGGTGGCGAAGATGATCATGTGGAGGCGAATATACTGGAATTGGTAGGGAGGTGTAGAAATAAAAATGTGAGATTTGAGTTATGTTAGAGGTGGAGCACAACATTATTCATTATTGATGTTCAATAAGGTCATATATTCACAATTTAGATAGCAACAAAAGTATTCTAATATTGATCAATCTGCACAACTTACTCATACATTGGTTTATGTTACAATTACACGTGTTTCGTCCGCACTAAGGAGCATAAGGATAATAGAATATTCAAGCGTACTAATAATTTATTATTTGGGTGGTAGACGTGAAGTTTGGGTGTAAAAAAATAGAAGTACGAAAGAACTTGACAACTTTGCGTGAGAGAGATGGTTTCTATTTACAATAAAGTTATAAGTACAGGACAAATTTAACATAATTCTTACCAATGTTGACGTGGCAAAATGTAAATGGGCTTTTTTTTTTTTTTTTCCTTTTTTTCATCTTTTAATGATGTTGCGTTGTGTGTTGTTTATAAGATTTTTTAGTCAAAAAATTCTATACGTGTAGCATGATTTTCCTATTTATTTACCCCAACCTCGAATAATGGTTGTTTAATTCGGTGAGTGAGAGAGAGAGAGAGAGAGAGATGTTTCAATTCATTTGCCGTAACCTTAAATAATAGTTGTATAATTAATTCTCAAGAACATATAGCATTTAGTTCTTTTGTCAAATCGTCACATGTTTTTGAAAAATATACTTTCACTTCAAATTTTTAGCAACCCTTTAAGTTGGGGAGCAAAATTTCATGAAGTTGTAAATGTAAAGGGCTACGTTGACAATTTTATATAACTTTGAACGGTTTTTGGAAGGATTGGTTTTGCAATTATAGTGTAACAACGAGAGCAGACAATAAATTGATGACCAATATTGTAATTTTTCCGAAAATGAATTAATTGACTAGAAATAATGTCTCTTGGAGACTTGTCATTGACATTGACATTAGGAAAGTAATAATACTAATATGATCCTAGCAAACTAGTTATGAAATGACTTTTTATGCTCTTGTTCAAGCCCTCTTTTTTCATCAAAATAAATTATTTAACAGTGATTTGATTCTATTTTAATCAAATATTTTTTAATAAAATAATATTACACTTAAATTAATATTTTTTCTTTTTTTCTTAACCACAAATTTTCATGAATACACTATTCAATTTTTTTTTTTTTTTTTTATTTTTAACAAGAATGTGGCTCAAAGGCTATAAATCAGTGGCCCATATAGAACTAAAATCCAATGGACAAAACAAACTAATAAAATTAACTAATAATGATAAGATTCGTAAACAGAATAGCATCGTAATTTACACTTCCAACAACGTGTATTGACACTTAACACCAAAGGCAAAATGACAAAATTAGAAAAGAATAATGTTTCGCAATAGTATTTCTAGGTACGAGTAATGTCAAGTGTATTTAGTACAAATATACGTGATTTATGCTATGAAAAGAGAGAATAAAAGTCAGTAAACTTGTGTATATTTTATTAAGAATCAAATCCATATATTTGTAGGAAAGAATCACAACGATAATAATTTCTGAGGCTGTAAGGGTACAATGTCATTCATTAATAAATTTATCATTTACAACACACTCCTTTGAACGACACATTATAAAATATATCTCTTGTTGAAATATTGTTTGATAAAAGCTCAGTAGGGCAAAAAAATCAAACGAATGAAAAAGATACAGTTATTTTGAAGTATTAAAAATAAATTCTACCTCATTAAAATATTGTTAGGAAAACCCAGTGAGATAAAACATAAGCAAGTGAAAAAGAGTACAGTCACTCGTCCTAATATTGAACACTGAAAATTTTTACATCGATGCATTCCAATTTCACAAACCAATTTTTTCAATGTAGATGTCAACGATGCTTTTGTGAATAAATCGGTCACATTGTCACTTGAACGAATTTGTTGGACATCAATCTTGTCATTCTTCTGAGACTCATTATATAAAAGAATTTTGGAGAAATATGCATCGTCCTATTACCTTTAATATAGCCTTCTTCGAGTTGTGCAATACAAGTTATATTATCTTCATATAAAATTGTTGGACTATCATTTGTTAAAGTTAACACGCATGATGCATAAATATGATGGGTCGTGTTCCTTAATCATAAACGTTCTCGACATGTTTCATGGATTGCAATAATTTTAGAATGATTTGAGGATGTTTCTGTCAATGATTGCTTTACAGATCTCCATGATATAGCTGCTCTTTCACATGTAAATATATATCCTATTTGTGATTTATCTTTATGTGGGTCGGAGAGATAACATGCACTTGTATATCCTACTAAAATAGATCCCGACTTTTAAGAATAAAATAATCTCAAATCAATAGTACCCTTTAGGTAACGAAAAACATGTTTAACATCATTTCAATGTCTTTCAGTTGGTACAGAGCTATATCTTGTAATGAAATTTACAGAAAAGGCTATATTAGGTCGAGTGCAGTTTGCAAGATAAATTAATACTCCAATTACACTAAAATATGGTATTTCGGGACAAATAATCTTTTTTTCATCTTCAAGTGGACGAAATTGATTTTTCCATATCAAGCGATCGAACAACTATAGGTGATACCAATGGATGTGTATTATCCTTATAAAAAACGTTTTAAAATTTTTCTTTATATGTAGATTAATGAACAAATAATCTTTTTTTGGGAAGTGTTCAATCTCTAACCAAATTTGATTTTTCTAAATCTTTTATCTCAAATTCATTTTTTAAATAATTTGTAGTTCTATTGAGCTCTTTAGGAGTTTCAATTAAATTTAAATCATTAACATAAATCGTCACAATTGTAAATTCAATATTTGTTTTCTTTATGAAAATACATGAACAGACATTGTCATTTTTATAATCTCCATTCAACAAATATTTGCTAAGGTAATTACACCATGTTCGTCCAAATTATTTCAATCTAATTGAAAATACGGCTCTCAAGCAGGTATCATTTTTTCCTTACACTATAAATCCTTATGTGACTTTTGCATATATATTATTATCAACTAAACCATACAATAGACAACTACAACATCCATAAGGATCATATTAAACTTTTGTGACACGGTCAAACTAATTAATAATCTAAAAGTGATGGTATACATTAAGGGGAAATATGTTTCCTCGTAATCAATTTCAAATCTTTGTGGGAAATCTTAAGTTACGAGTAGGGCTTTTATATTTTTTTTGTAATTTCATTATTTTCATTTATCTTTCGTACAAAAATTTATTTGTATCTTACAGGGACTACATTTTCAGGTGTTCGAACTACAGGTCCAAGCACTTTTCATTTCTCTAAAGAATTCAAATTCGCCCGTATGTCCTCTTTTCATTTTATCCAATCATTTTGATAGACTTTAAAATAATGTGATTCAAGATCCTCATTTTCGCATAATATCAGAAGCCATGTTAAAGATGAAAATATTGTCTACGACAACATTGTTTCATTTCGATAATTCATGAGATAACATATAATTTATTGAATTCTCATTATTCTTGAAAATTTGTGATTTTTCAGGAACCATATTTTCAATATTTGATTGATCAATTTTTTCTAATGTTATTTATTTCAAAATTTTTGGTTGATTTTCCTCTTGTACTTTTTTTGTTTTTGTTTTGAGATACAGGGTCTTTTGAACCCATTTGTCGACCATGCTTTCTAGCATATTTGAGACTCATTTACTATAGCAAATTGTTCTTCACGTACGTCAATTTTTATTGGAAATATTTACTACTATAGTATTTGACTTTGTAGCCTTTCTTGTATTAAAAAATACATCAGGTAATTGATTTGCAACTTTTTGTAAATGAATAATTTTTTCAACTTCTTACTTACATTGATTATTATAGGGTGGTTCAAAGTGAGATGAGTCATTTCATTTCAATAAATTTTAGTTTGTTTTTTATGCTGTAGTTTACCCACTCTTAAAGTTGGGAATTTCATCAAAATGACAATTTGTAAAATGTGCAGTAAATAAATTACCCGTAAAATGTTCAAGATACCTAATTATAGATGGTGAATTAAACCCATATAAATCCCAAATCTTCGTTGAGGACCTATTTTAGTACATTGTGTGAGTGAAATAGGAACTTGGAGGGTACAACAAAAAATTCATAAGTGAGAAATATTAGGTTCATGGCTATATATCAGTTGTGAATGTGAATATTGACAATAGTCGGTTGGTCTTATACGAACCATTGATGTAGCATGTAATATAGCACGACCCCAAGTAAAAGCTGAGTTTTGTTTTCATAAATAGTGGTCTAACAATAAGTTGTAGACATTTAATAAACGACTTTGCTTAGCCATTTTGTGTGTGGATATGCACAACCAAATATCCAATAATATTCCCAATTGATATGAATAATCATCAAATGTTTGTGATCTAAATTCACCAGTATTATCAAGATGAATAGTCTTTATTGAGTAATCGAGAAATTACATTCCTAATTTTATGAAGTGAGCAAGTAGTCTAGCAAAAATTACATTCCTAGTGGAAAGTAGGAAAACACATGACCATCTATTATAATAACGAAATGATCAACATGCTAAGTGTATCAAACCACATATATTTCCATGAATTCTTTCCATGAAAGTTAGAGATTCAATATTAATCCTTATAGTCGGTGATCTAGTTACTAGCCTTGCGAATAAGATATTTATGGATAATTATTGGATAAAAGAATCTTCTGATTCTTATCCACGTGAGTTGTTTATTATTCGACGTATCGTTATAGCTCCTGGATATCTAAGTCAACCGTGCCAAAGTATAAAATTTTTTGAATCAGCGAACTTATGGTTCGTGACAATATTTGATTTAACCATTTTTATAAATGTATTGTACATGTCAAATGAAAATGCATGGAATTTTTCTTTTATCTGTTTCTAAGCAGATACAAAAAAAGTTATGCAAAGATACTCAATATTATTTTGTTGCATTCATTGATATCACAACGGATATCTTTAAAACTAAGTAAATTTCTTTTGTATTTGCTATGTTAAGTCCAAACAATATTTTTTTTGTCCTAAAGAATGGGCATCCGTAGTTTCACTATTAATCAAGTAAATATCTTGATAATCCATTATGAATATATAAATATTTAAAAATAGATATATTTAAAAAACTTGAATTTGAATTTTAAATAGTAAGCATAATTCAATAGTTTGAAATTGACGATGCATAATAAAGTTTTAATTTTTTTTTATAAAAAGTAAAAATATATTTCAAACTAAATTTGTAAAATAAAGGAAAATGCTAGAGACAGAAAATAAGCTAATATATATCTTTCATCACATCACTTCTAATTAAATGGTCAATATTCATATTTGGATCAGTAAAGAAATCGGAGACATTCCGCATCTAAGGCAACTTTCTTCGTGCTCTTTTTTGGACGTGCTACTTTCGTTTATTTTCTGCCTTTTGAAATTGTTCCCTTGTTACTAATAGTTTTGTTGATTATTTCGTCCATGATTTATTCCACGTACATGTCCGTGTCTACGTACAAATTCGTGTCAACGTTCAGGTCCACGTCCTTGTCTTGATATTGCATTTATTTTACGCAATGTAGTACCATTTGCTTTATGTAATCCATGATTTTTCATAAGCAGTTCATTATTTTGTTCAGCTACAAGTAGATAAGATATGAGTTCTGAGTACCTTTTGAAAACAATGCTCATGATATTGTTGTTGCAGACAGTAAATTTAAGTTTGTATTTGATTAACTATACAATAGAAAGTAAATTTAAGTTTGTATTTGATTAACTATACAATAGAACAAAAGAAAATATAATTAGTTTCAAAGAATGACTAAACATCACATAAAATTTAATCAAGAGCAATATGTCAATAATCTTTAGTAATATTACAAAAATATATAGTTTATACTCTTCAAGAGCAATTAATATTAATTATAATGTTGTGCTACTTCAAACAACAAATTATGTATAATAGTTAATAGATAGATCTAAAATTAATATTCTTTTGAAATATTAATTATAATGTTGTGCTACTGTAATGAACATCAAATTAAAACATTAATTACCATATATGCATTAAAGGAATGGAAAAAAATATATATATATTTACACGTGAATTTCAAATAATGTCAAAATTAATGAAGTTAAAAGGTAGAATTCCTTATAAAAATTGAAGGCATAATAGTAACAAAGTAATGGTTGAATGAATTTTTTAGTTACATGCAAAATTAATACATGCATTTAAAGGTGTACATGCAAAAAGAGAGAAAAATGCTTCAACGATTGGCGACTGAAAATTAATGCATATGTATGTGGGGGCATTCATGATACAAATTTCTTGGCCATATGTATTATGCACACAGATTTATGGGGTATTCACAGTACACATTTCTTGGCCTTATGTATTATGCACACAGATTTATAAGCATAAATTCATTGCGGCGGCGTAGAAAATTCAAATGCACATAAGTTAACGTGACATAAGTCACACGTGTTTGTAGGAATAAAATATTTATATGTTATCAAATTAATTTTGATGCACGTGACATACAATCATTTTTATAAAAAAAAATTACCTTTTAACTAATTCACTTTGATTTCGAGTGAATCGTATTGATAATGTGTTATGAAAAGAGAAAAGGGGATAAAAGTCAATATGCTTGTGTGTATTTTATTAAGAATAATTTACTTAATCAATCCAATAACTTAATGTCGTTCATGCTACATATAGATCTTGTTTTGTTCCCGTTATTTTCAAAAATTTCTCTTATCTTTAATCATATTTTTCAATAAAATAATAGTACATGTAAATTCAATTGTTTATTTTTTATTTTTATTGACACATTCTCCATGAAATCACTATTTTAAAATACATTTTTGGCAAGAAAATGGGTCTCAAGCATGCTTATAGAATGTTGTAGCATTAATGATGTTAAATAGGATTGACGTATTAATTATTAGCCATTAATTTTGTTAATGACATAATTAATTTTTAATTTCCATGTTTTGAGATTTATATAAACAAACAAAAACCGCCCAGTGGCCAACGTTAATTACAATTTTTTTTCCTCCATTGCTGAGTGAGCACGTCAATCTTAATCAACCCCTGCCCCTTATTCTCTCTAGATTTTCCCCACCTTTACTCTCTGTCGATTCATGTATCTATATATCGCCCAATCTCTGGCGCAAGGTTAGAAGAGAAGACTAAATCAAAGAAACTACCCAACAGTTATTCCCTCCTCCCAAATCAAACCCATCGCACTTTTAAGTTTGTTAAAACACTTTTAGAATACCCTCTCTTATTACGACCTATTTATCCCCTATCTCTCTGTAACTTTCTCGTGAGCTTGTACAAGGTCTTGAGGTGTAACTCGTTACCTCTGCAAAGAAAAAACCAGGTTTCTTGATTTTTCTTGAATCTCATTTAATCAGCCTACTAAAAAAAACTCAAGATTCTGGGGCTTAGTATTTTGGGAAAGTTGGTGCATACTCAAGGTTCTGGGAAATTCGTGAAAATTCAAGTATCTGATTGTATAGGGCGATCAAGGAAGTTCTGGGATTGGTTTCCTTGGTTAGTTCTGAGAAATTTTGGATCTATTTGATTTGATATGGTGAGAATAAGGTAAAGCTGAAATTTTTGTTTGATGTAGTTTGTTTTTGCATCGAGGGTTGTGCTTATGGAAGAAGGCAAAGAATCTACTGTAATAAGCAGGACAAGCCAATCTAGGGTTTTGCCTCAAAAGCTACTTCAATTACTTGCACTTTTTCTGGTTTTGTGTTTTGTCTTCTCTGTAATTAGTGTGTATACAATTAGGCGTTTTGGAGTTACTAGTTTTGCGCCTGCTATTAGGCCTACTTTACAACCCTGCATTCAAGAAGAACTGAATAATTTAGAGCATTGGATCAAGCCCCCATTGAATTTGATGCACAAAATGAGCGATAAGGAGTTGTTTTGGAGGGCTTCATTGACGCCCCAGATAAAGAATTATCCATTTAAGAGGATCCCTAAGATTGCCTTTATGTTCTTGTCTAAAGGGCCATTGCCATTGGCACCTCTCTGGGAGAGGTTTTTTAAGGGGCACGAGGGGCTGTATTCAATCTACATGCATTCATTGCCGTCGTTTCAGGCTGAATTTCCATCCTCGTCGGTTTTCTACAAGAGACAAATACCAAGTCAGGTATGTTTGTGTAATCCGATTTCCATTAGTTCTTTTATCAATTAACTGCAAAAAGGATATTAGATTTGTCAATTTACACGAATTCCATGTTTTTGAGTATGAAAATTTAGTGGTAGTCTTATAGTTGTAAGTTTATCATCTAGACTGTTGGCTCTGTTATTACTTTATTAAGATTTCCGAGGTTTACCCAACGCTTCTCTGATCTCTGGACCTCACTACTATTCATTGTTATATTTGGTTTCATTTTGCTGCCAAAGATGATGTAACTGAGGAATGTCTTTAGAAGAAAATTATTGTTCATCACTTTGGTCAATTGGCAGTAATTTTTCGGCAGATTTTAAGGAGCGCGTGAATCCCAAATTTATAGTTTCTCCATCTTTTGTTTTTGTTTGGAGAAAGGGTTATCATTCTAAGGCAGATTAGATTTCCTGAAGTTGACTCCGACAAAATCATACCTCTTGCCCGGTTATTTACCTGAAAACCTGGTAAACAATAGGTTTTGTTGCTCTTGCATTATCATTGTCTCGCTACAAAGATCACAAGTTAACATATTATTCAACTTGTGTCACGTTACCCAATTTTTCTTTATTCAATACTTGCCAATAACATTGCCCCTGGACGCACTCTTTAATGATGAGGTTTATGGTATGCAGTCGTATTTTCCACGTTAGGTGTTCTTCCATTTAAAATGTGACCTGACTTTTAAGGAAAAGTCAAGTCTTCGAAGAACCTATAGACTTGACCGTGTGGACAAAGTGTGTGTTGGAAGGAGAAATATTGTTAAACAGAATCAAAATTTGTTCTTTTTTATTCGACTTGGTAGAATCGGTAAAATTCAAGAAATTTGTTTTGGTTTTATGAATTCAACTGTTTTTGAAAGTCTTAACGGGAGTATCATTAGAAATTGGGAATAGCACAAACGAATTTCTTGTGAACTTGAACTAATTCGTTTATGGTTAAGAGCTAAGATTTCATCTGGACTTGGTAGGCATGAAACAGAGTTTCTGATGAGCATTTGATCTCATCCTGGACAGGTCGCAGAATGGGGAAAGATGAGCATGTGTGATGCTGAGAGACGACTTATTGCTAATGCCTTGCTCGACATTTCCAATGAATGGTTTATTCTACTTTCTGAATCGTGCATTCCTCTGTACAACTTCAGCACCGTGTACAACTATATAAAGCAATCCAAATATAGCTTTCTTGGTGCATTTGATGATCAGGGACCTTATGGGAGAGGACGCTACAGTGAGAAAATGTTACCGGAAGTTAACATCGCCCAGTGGCGGAAGGGATCTCAGTGGTTTGAAATCAACAGAAAGCTTGCTCTATATATTGTGGAAGACACGAAATACTATCCAAAATTTGCTGACTTCTGCAAGCCAGCATGTTATGTGGACGAACACTATTTTCCAACTATGCTAACAATTGAGGCCGGAGAATTGTTGGCGAATAGAAGTATAACTTGGGTGGACTGGTCGAGGGGAGGAGCTCACCCAGGTACATTTGGAAGAGCAGATATTACAGAAGAATTCATGAAGAGAATTTTTGAAGGTCAAAAATGCTCGTATAATGATCAGCCTTCGTCTCATTGTTATCTTTTTGCGAGGAAATTTGCTCCGAGTGCCTTGGAGCCGTTGTTCTTGTTAGCCCCCAAGTTCTTAGGTTTTTAAATCAGACGCGAACGATTCTGCTCTGATTTAGAGCCTTTTTTCACATGTACAGACCATGTAGCTTGAATTTGGAGCCAAAAGTACATAGTAAAATTATGAATTTTGTTCATTCTTTGGAACATTAGATAGATGGCTTGATGTTTTTCTTCCTAGTTTTTGTTGTTCATTTGAGAACATACAATTTTTTTTTTAATTCTTAATTTTGACAAAATACAAGCTTTCATTGCGAACAACATGCAAATTAAACCGGGGTATACAATTGACTTGATCTCCTGACCAACCGATGAATTATAGATAACATCTCGCTCCAAACGTAGGAGTTGCTAAGAGTAATATTCTGAATTTAGATGTCCAACTCCGCCGTCTGTCATGTATTTTATGGATGATGAATCAGGAACATTTACTTCTCTTTCCCTTCTATTTGATATAGAACCAAAAATAAATAGAAACTCGTTCATTCCTTTTTAGGCGAATCAAAATGGACAATTATCTTAATTCTAGCAGGTAGAATAATAGCAACAGAAGAAAATGAATGGATTATTTTATTCCTTTTTCCATCTCTCAAGTGTAAAATAGCACAGGAACATTTGAATTTAGCCTCAGAGAACAGTTCGAGTTCCTCCATGCAGTGCTTGAAATTTTTATTTAATTTTTTGTATTTATTTCATTTATTAAGGTATTAATTTCAAATAACTATTGTAAATTGTTTGTAATTTCTTTTATCTTAGTTTTTTTTTTGAAAATGCAGCATAATTATTATTAAATTTCTAGTAATGGATAAAAATTTGAAAATGGAGTCAAAGAAATACAAAATACACCAGCTTGTGTAATTTAACTAACGTGCACAAATTTCCTCCACAATTCATTACACTCCTCTACTCTGAGTCGGACTCCATGTTTCCCATTGCCTTCAACCCTCTTGGTCTCTGAAATAAATAAAATTGTAAAATTAAGCCCAACTTCAACCAAATTATAATTTATAATTTAAAAGTAAAATTAAAATTGAGTTCTACCTTCTTTGAAACCTTTTTCTCTCTGACCTCGTATCTTTCTAGGGTCAGATCGCATAGCCATGTTCCTGGACTTACCAACTGCACAAACAATTAAAGATTAAGTAATCTTTATTTATTTATTTATTATAAGCTGAACCATTCCTACTAGAACTAAATTACCCTTTCCCTCTTTACTCGTAATAAAAGTCCAAAGAAAATTGGATAATGGGGACTTTATGATTATGATTAATGCCAAAAAGAATTCTATATCAACGCGCTTCCTTGGACAATACGAAATTTTGATTTTTTTTTTAATTGATAAGAAATTATTATTATTATGAGTCTGATAAGTTTTCGTGGACCATCATAAAAATACATATTTTCGTAGGTGACTTGAGGTCAAGCAAATCGATTAAAAAAAGAAAAAAGAAAAAAGTGGATACGTGTAAGCCTATGGCTATAACCTACTTGATTATCCTTATGCATAGCAATTTCTAGTAGTTGATTGTGCCAAGACAACTTTGCAGCCCCACATCACCCTCTCTACCTAATATAAATTATTAAGCCCTGTTTTTTAACCATTATCCAATGAAGATAGAATTTTTTTTTTTAAAAAATGTGTGGTTAAAAAGTATTAAAAAATTTTAAATTCAAATACAAAATGTTTTATTATAAAAACGTGATTAAAAATAAATTTAGAAAAAATAAAAATAAAAAAGTTCTGAAATTATGATAGACGAGAAAGGAATTAATATAATAAACACATGGAACTTTATTCCACAACCGCACCACTCCTTCCCAAATGCTTTTTGTACGAAAGATAGATATACACTTTTGATAATTCTTTTAATATTGTCAAAATCTGAATAATTAATATTGTTACGAAGTTCTTGTTTAAATATTCACTTGTTCGAAAAAATTAATTTTTACGATTTTTCATAACTATTTGACCAATAATTAAACAAGAACTAATTATGAAATGATCCATGAAAAGAGAAAACTATCTCACATTCATGGATTCTGATTTGGGTATATGATAATCACTTAATTTCATTTACTAACGAAGTATTGCAGTGAATTANTACGAAATTTAGATTAATTTTGGATCTAACAATAAATACATTGACATTGGAAAGGAAAGGAACGGGTGGCCCACTTTTCTATCTTCCAATCAGATGCTATCACTAGGTAGTTAATTATTTATTTATTTCCCTCAAATATTATATTATATTGAAGTGCAATAAATAGGAGGAAAAAATAAATGAATATCGGGCGTAAGTATAATCTTTAAATAGTAATTATTCACCAAAAAATGGGCATCAATTTAGGATCAAAAAAATAATCAGGGGATGAAAGTTATGAAAATATGACAAGGTGAAATACACCTAGCTATCTATCACTAATGTCGCCACTTGCAAGTGCGTGCGCTGCAATTATTATTATATTCTATTCGAATAGATGGCCCTTTCACTCCATTAGGGGGAGACTTGAGAATGAAAACCCCCTGCATCCATATTTTCTTTTGGTATCTTTTTTTGTACCCACCCAATTACCTATAGCACTCCGATCTTAGCCACTGTTTTACATCAATTACAATTGACTTTACCAAAAAAAATAAAAAAAAAAATAAACAAATTAATTAAAATAGTGAATTTTTGAAGAACTAGTAGTTAAAAAATAAGAAAAAATTTGAATTTAAATATAAAACATTTTATTGTGTGAATGTTGAATTTGAAAAAAAAAAAGAGTTTCAATTTAATAGATGTGAAACACGGCCAACCCCAAAGCCAAGACGCCATAGGATTTCAGACTCAATCATACCATCAACCACAAGGCCGTCATGGTTCTCATTGCAAAGCATGAGATTTGAATCTCCACATTGAAATTATTGGTTTTCAGTCTATGATCCATATAGACTTAAATTCTTTAACTTCAACAGTTAGCTTTTGAGATGAGATTCCCCCTATAACGGTGGTTTCAAAGTAGGAACCACGTCTCCCAATTGTAATTGAGTAGCGCGTTGGCAATGCCCAACACAACAATGTTTATTCAGATTAGTCATGGGCTAGTAAGCCAATTCAACATGAGCATCAAGATCGCAAAGCGTGGTTTTCATGATTTGCGTTGTAAGTTATGGACTTGGATCTAACGTCGAAATATGGAATTTCGATTTGTGATTTATATAGGACTTGAATTTTCTCAACTGTTAAACTTCAGTGTAGATCTCTATGATCTATAACAAAGTCCATACGAGTCCTATAATCCATATTTAGGGTACCACTCCACGGTCCTCGATCTTTCGAGTCAAGTAGTTCCAGCCCCAAACAAAGATTCAAGAAAAATCCCACAACACAAATAATTCAAACCAACGAGTAGAGGACAAGAACTCCACCCCCATGACCCAAGCGCCACAATCCCCAGAGTCACCATGACACCCTCATCAAAAGAAAATAATTGGAATAAAAAAGAAATTACCTCAAAATTCGATGATGAGACGGAGAAGCTGGACGTTGACGGAGATTCAAATACCCGTTACTCTTGGTGCTAGTAATGGCAGTAGCATTCTTATTATTCTGATGGTTCGAATTAGAATCCGACCTAATCACCCGGCGATCGACCCGGGCTGTTGTCCGATTAACCAGGACAGACCCGGCAGAGTCATTATTGCTGTGGTCTTTGGCCTGGACCTTCATGCACCGTAGCCTTTTCCGATTCCCCCACTGCAAAAATAAGTCAGACGACGTCGTTGCTGGTGACCTGGACGACTCGGATCTCGGTAACAATCCTCCTTCTCTATTGGTGCTGGGATTATTCCTCTCCATCTCGCCTTTCTACACCTGTCATCATCATCAATGACGGGGCTAACTGCTTAAAATTATATTTTAACTGGCAAATTTATTAATATAAGTGGAAACAGGAACAGGATAGAAATGGGGGAAAAAATTGGGGTTATTCTGACTTCATAATTTAGAAATAAAACGAATCACTTTATCATTTGATGATGATTGGAATATTTCATTTCTGAATTTAGAAGATAATTTCTGGTGCATTCACAGAAGTGAATTTTTGGTCAGGATCTGTACCAAAATGGACAGCAGAATTGAAAAATAACTAAAAAAAAAAAAGGTTGAGAATTCAGCTCAAGAATTTTATTTATTTATTATTATTTTTTTTTTGGGAAAATCCGCATTACATGTCTTAATTTTCTGCAACGAAAAGTTTCGAAGATTGAGATGAAGAAATATTTAGTAGCACAAAAAAACTATGTGAGAAATTTGAAAGAAGAAGATGATCGTAATTGTTTACAAATTGGGAAACTTTGGTTTTAAATTTAAAGGTGAAATTGAAATGCACTCCGGAAAACTCAGAGATGGGAAATTTGTAAATCTGGGTAAGAAGAGAGTGATTACAAATTGATGAATTATTCGAAGGCGAGTAACTCCAAAGAGATGAGGAGGGAATTTTGGCCAGTCTTCAGACGAAAATCACCATTCATTACCTGAAAGCCTCTTTTCTCTCTCCCACAATAGATTCAATTCTTCTTTTTGTTCCTCGCAAAGAAACTCCGATTCAATCCTCAAAATCCGAACAATCGGTGTCCTTTGTTTCGAAAAAATCAATGTGAAGAACGCCAAAACAGAGTGGGTGAGAGAGCCTGAGAATATCAGAGCCTGATGAACTGCCAAAAAAGAGCTCTCTGATTCTGCAGTACAAAAACCAGAAGTTTCATGAAAAAAATTCAAATCAAATTTAAATATTGTAGTATTTTCGGAAATGGCTGGCTTTCATACCTTATATAATGACAACTTCGGTTCCAGAATTAAACGATCATCCTTTCACGTTTACAACAATTTCTGTTGATTCAAGTCCTTTGACTCATAAACTCCCAGAAGATAAGGATTTTCCGGTGAAATGTCACCGAATCCGAGCTCCGACTTTCAGCTCTTGTATTAAACCCACGATCTTAAGAGTCCTAAAACTGATTTCCAATCTCCCAGAGATATACCTGTCAAATCAAAATTAAGGGCAAAAATCATATTAACGCAAAAAATCTCCAAGGAAACACACGAAAACAGAACAATAATTCCAATTACGACGAACCTGTAGACTCAAATATTTCTCATATCCAATCGAAGTGCGTCAGTTTCTCACAAACCATTAATGATATCAAACTTCAGTATTCTTCTTAACACAACTCCAATCCGCTTTAAAATGCGCCTGTGATTCAAAAACCAAACAAATCATTCAAGTAAATCCCATAATTAAACTCAAAAATTGAAGAATAATTAATAGAGTGCATCAGTTTCTCACAATCTGCGAACGAAATCAAAGCTTCAGTATTCTTCACAAAACAACTCCAATCCCTTCCAAAATGCACCTTCGATTCAAAAAATATCCAAAAACACAAAGTCCCATAATCAAATACACAATTGTAGATAATAAATTATTGAAAAAGTTTTAGATCATCGATTATTAATATTTCACTGCATTTCCACTCACCAAATTCTCCAAAAAATAATGATCTTGATTTTTTAGAAATGCAAAACAAGAGAGAGAGAATTCAGAGAGAGAAAGATAGAAAGAGAGAGAGAGAGTCTTCTTCTTCTTCCGAATAGAGAGAAAAGTAGGAAAACACTCTTTTCCTTTCAAACCCCCATTTTTGTACCCCTTCCGTTTCCTGTTCTCACTCTATTGTTTCATCTCTGACCGTTGAAAGAAAATCTAACGGTCTCGATTTCTTTTGAGTAAACCGTCGAGGTCGCTAAGTTACGGCGCTATTGTGTCCCACTTAAAGACTGGATTTTACTTCACGGCGTTAGCTTCATCAAACGGAATCTTTTGCGCTGTTAGGTCGCCGTTATATTTATTTAATTTATTATTATATCTTTATTTAAATTATGGACATTTCTCGCATACCCGTGCACAGGCGCTTAGCACGTGACCTACTTAACCATGATTGAATATTTAACTCGGGTTAAATAAATATTAGGTTGATGACATCATAAACAAAATTATGTTTAAATTCTAGACTTTGACGAGCTTATCCATGTATAGTAGTGGTTGGATTTGAGTGTGACTAATTTTTGCACATGAAACTTGAAATTTTGAAAGATCTAATTATGCAAATGAGAAACTTACAAGAAAATTTGAGCAAGCTGCCCTATTCTTAAAGTTACATTTATTATCTCCTCGAATATTTTTTTTTTCTAATTTTTGCATAAGAAAATTGGAATTGCGTAAGATCTAATTATGCCAATGAGAAAGTTGCAAGAAAATTTGAGCAAGTTTTACTATACTTAAAGTTACTTTTATTATCTCCCTACATGCGTGTTCGTTCATTTTTCCATCAAAGGTTGACACGCACACAATTTTAGTGACGAATAGCGATAGAATTTGAACTTAAAATCTTTACCTATACTGATATAATCACTAAAAATTTATTAAGTAATGCTTTTAAGTTTTAGGTCATTAAATACTCATAAGCACTAAAGAATGTGTTTAATTAAGTGAGTAGTAAGTCAAGTCATGAATCATATAAATGCAAGGCCGATCCTAATAATTATGAGGCCCTAATATAATTTTTTTGTTCTTTTTGCACAGAGCAATATTTGAAATTTAAATAACATAAAATATTATGTAACCAACTTTTCAGACAAAGTTGTCAACATATAACATACCAATCAGCGCCCCTTCATGCAAAATCTACTAAAAAATTAAGTGAGTAGTAAGTCAAGTCATGAATCATATAAATGCAAGGCCGATCCTAATAATTATGAGGCCCTAATATAATTTTTTTTGTTCTTTTTGCACAGAGCAATATTTGAAATTTAAATAACATAAAATATTATGTAACCAACTTTTCAGACAAAGTTGTCAACATATAACATACCAATCAGCGCCCCTTCATGCAAAATCTACTAAAAGCACTATAAATTTATTTGTCTTATTGTAACATAATGACGCTATATATAGCAAAATAAATTATTGCTTAGTTCTTTGATTTTGAATCATCTATACTAATCTGATAATTCTTCATTACATTTCCATTTGTTATTTTAGTGTAAATGTCTAAAGTCAAGATTTAAGACTAAATTTAAAATTCGTTAACTCATAAAAATGGCTACAAACTTCCAGTCGTCATGTATGCACAGCCCATGCTTTTGTTCTTTTTTCTCAGTTTTCATTAATTTGAAATCTGAATTCTGATCAATTCAGTTGGTTATAACTGGTAAGATTAGTGAGAAGTAGTTCAAAAGGCATAATTCTTTGCCATTTTTAGAACTATTTTTGCAAAATAAATAATAATGCATTAGAAATTCTTTGCTCTGTAGGAATTTTTTTTTTCAGACTTCTAGGTTGTTTTTGAGGCCCCTAAAATGTTGAGGCCCTAGATCGTTGCCTAGTTGGCCATGTTTTAGTGCCAGCCCTGTATAAATGTGTGGATAAAATGTAAGTTTGACAAAATTAAATTTAAATTCAAACATTGCCAAACATGTGCTTGATCTAAAATCTTAAGTTGTTAGAAAGAATAATCATATACATGTTATTTAAATCTTGTATTCAACATATTTAACATGAAAAAACACAAATTCCAAAACAAAACTACAATGAGAAAGATGATTTCACCGAAATTCATACATACCAGATTTTTTTTTTTCCATAGATTACTAAAATCAATTTTAGATCAAATAGAATATAAACATGAACTGTAAATCATACATAGGTACCAAATACCAGTCACAAGGCAGCTGTTAAGCTTTGAAGTTATACGTACAGATTGCACTGAAGTACCAAGGTCATAACCTCGATGTACAAGAAAATTTGAGCACGTTTTGCTGCACTTATAAGTTACTTTTAGGAAGTTTTTTCGGAGCATCTTTGAGATTTTTCAAAAGTTAATTTTTGGGAGGATTTTAAGTTCAAAAACTTAAACTGTACTAAAAGTCAGTCTTTCTATTAAGGAATTTAAGTTAGCCAAGCATGCTGTGAAACTCTCTGTATCCTGAATTTTAGGGCATTCAAGCACTAAATCCCCTGTGGAGAGAGCTCCAAAAACTGGAAAGAAAACTGGCACAGACCTGAGCAGATGCCTCTGCCATTTGCTCTTGCTTTATGCCAGCATTGCAGATGTTAGCGATATAACGCATGTGTTTCATTCCATATTGGGATAAAGATCCCCAGCGAATCTCAAATGTTCTAACCAGCAAAGAAAATAAGAGTAACGCTGTTCTTTCAGAACAAAATCCCGTAATACACTGGTGGCACGTTTGGTATGGTAGGTTAGATAGTATTAGACAATATTAAAGGAGAAAGGAAGTAAAAAAGCTGTTGATCACACAGTTAAATAGGATCCAATATTGCATACCAAACTTGCATGGGATGTTTGCTCAAGTGCGAGGCCAACTAGTAGGGTAAGCACATGGGGAGTTATTTTTTATTCCTAGGGCTTAAATTAACAACAATGCTACTTGTACAAATTTATTTACAGATTGATTTACAGGAGATGAGTTGGCAACATTTCACAAGCTGGTTTAACTTTGTTTTTTGTACAAGAAGCCTGTGAAACGTTGCCAACTCAGCTCTTGTAAACCAATTTTAAAAAAAAAAAAAAAAAAAGCATTGTACAAGTAGCATAATTCAAAAATTAATAATACTAGGGCGTAGCATAATATTATATCATGCTTTATGTGGTCTCAAAATATTTTATCTGAAAAATAAGCAGTCATATTGGGGAAATGCAGTTACGAATCGTAACAAGGGTTTAAGAATGTCCCAATCATCAACAAGAGACTGGCCTGTAGGCCGAATGGTCTTCAGCACTTCAGGCCCCTTTTTCGATTCCAAAGAGACGTTTCCCAACAAGTTGTGGTAGGTTTCACCCCAAGTTAATGGCAAAATCTACCTATGATTAATGAAAACACAAGACAGGAACATAAATTATGATGCGTAATGATGGAAATTGAATTACAGAAAACAGAATGAAAATACAATCAGCCTTTCGAGAGGATTGTACTCTCCACAATATGGTTTTCACTTACTATTTTTGCCTCCCCATCCTCTCCCCCTTCTTTATTTATAAGCTACTTGTAATTGTTATCCCCTCCCATCTTTACTCTCTAACAAACTAGTTTTCCACCAATTTGCAGGTTATTCTTCTTCTAGGTCCTTCTAGAATGCATGAGGTGGATTGGAGCCTATCAGTTTGATACTACTGTCAATGTGCGTTCTGTGTGTCATAGCATCAGCAAGCTCCTTTTGAGCTTCAAATTTCCTAAGAGAGCCTTCAGGAGCCTTGATGAACTGCCAGTATGTCATGCAAATCATTATATGTCTCTAAAACATATCATTAAAGTTTACATCTTACAGTGTGAATGAAAGAAGACATTAGAGCTGTAGGAGTGACATAATAATTTTAGCATCAAGAAGACTCCTTAAGTTTCACGTAATTTCATCCAAACCTTGTCCTCGGTCTCAGTTTACACACTCAACTCCTAACCCAATTTCAAACCAACTGAAAAATAAAGTAAACTGGTACAAAAAAGAAATTAAATGTAAAATGAAATTCAGGCTGTATCAAATGGAAAAGAGTGTGGTAACTGGTGGAAGTAGATGAGAAATTGCTTCGCTAAAGTTTAGTGGTGAAGTCTTTCAAGCAACATGAAATTCAGGCTATATACTTCAAACTTTTGATCATGGGGTGCTTCATGTATTCTATTGTAGATTATAGCAATGCCACACAAATAGGGCTAAGCTTTCGCTTTAGCAGATATAGCAAGGTTCTCTGACTGCTATTCCTTATTACCTTTAACATACAAAAGTAGCAGTTTAGATTTTTATCCTTGTGCATTGTATCAATATAAACAAATGGTAATTTTATTTTTCCAAATTCCCTACAAAAAATGAAATCATTTACATAAACGGGCTAACAGAGTATGAAATCTTTGTCTAGGGAGCTTTTAGCTTCTTTTCTGGGCAGTTTTGACGTAATTTGTTACAGAGTGCTAGCATGCATAAGCCCAAACATTATGAACTTAGTGCTTGTTTGATAGTGATTTTGAGAATTGATTTTTTGATCGTTGAAGATAAAGAGGGTCCTACCTGTGAAAGAAAAATTAAAAAATAACGGCTGAAATAGTGAAATAACAGTCAAAAAATTCATTTTAATTGGATTAAAATCTCTACCAAACAAGCTCTTATGTTAATGAGATACTGCCCACAGCTTCACCAATGTCCAAATAATGGACTCAAATTTGACATTGGATCTCCCTTTCAAATTTGACCTGCAGCTTAACTGGCCTCTTATTATATCATTTAACTAATACTGACCTCTAAATGGTACCAATGCATGACAAATACACACATTAGGATTAAAGCGTGTAGTTGATTCAGTGTAGCAGAAAAAGGAGTTACACATACCTTATGCCAGAAATGTAAAAGATTAGCATCAGGCTGGTAAACAGCTTTCGAAGATAGCTGCACTGCATTGTTGTCCACAAAACTCTGGTTATCATTAGCAGGATACATACACGAGTGCAGGAAAAGATTCTCCGCACTTAGCTTTAAGTCACCATATTGCATGACATGGGAGCCACAAAAAGAATTTTGATTAGCAGTTCTTCTGACCTGTGAATGCCAACATCATAAAATCATAAGAAATATACACACAAAAACAAACAAGATAGAGGACGGCTGCATTTTGGATGCTAGTCTTCATTCTTAAATTTTTTAGGAACAATGTCCACCATAAAATGACAACTTAGAGCACTAAATGTGCAATTTTTTAGGTGAAATTCATGTAGAATTTCAACCTTCCCAACACAGAAAGACTGATGCAATTTATGTCAGGTTGAATACATATGGTTGACTCCAATGTTACCACTACAGCCTAAATTTCTCTAGTTTCAGGCAGACTGTTGAGTTTCAGGGAGGCTGCTCAATTGTAAATGCATAGTTAGATAAAGGATCATATCAGTTGATATTGTTGCCTCAAAGTTTCTTTTCGCAAATTGTGTATTTCACTGATCATTAGCAAATGGGTATGAGTAATTAGTAAAACATGAAGCCAAACATGGTCATTTAAGTAATCAATCTATAATCCCACCAAATTGAAATTATTAGCAAATACAACTCTTCATTTTTTTCAATAGCTCTTACTAAAAAGATAATCAATAAGTTTACTTGGGCATCCAACGATTGAATGATCAACAGGGATGCCACCAAAATAGAATGAGCAATATGCAAAAAATAAAAAAGAAAGGAAGGAAAACAGGTGTGTACCTGTCCTCCATCGAAGCAACACTATGCAAGTAACCCAAGCTGGTTTCATATTCAGGGGGAGGACCCAGATAGTCGCCTGGGCGGAGCCAGGAGGGGCAAAAAAAAAAAAAATTCTACTGGGCTGCTACATAAAAAAAATAAAAATAAAAATGCAAAGAAATATATAGTTTTTTACATTAAAATTAAATAGGCCTTGGGGGGAAGGGCTGGGCTGGGCTGCCCCCCTCTTCCTACGCCCCTGTGTGGGCAGTAGGTTCCCAGCTGCTCTCTTCCGCATTTGATGCATTGGTTGCATATATATTCAAGGCTTCAGGAAGAAGACAATCAAAAATACTTCCAGACTCACAAGCTTCAAGGTAAAAAACCTAATAAAGCTTAAAAATTAGAAGAATAGCCCTTCAAAATTTCAGAACATGCTTCAATGGTATAATTTGGTACTGAAAATGAAAGCCAATAATTGATTAACCAAGCTTTTATATGTCCCAGAAGCATGCTTCTTCTTTAGAACATCAACTAGGTCATTTGCATAAAGGTAGGATTTGTAGGTCAAGTAGCTCAGTCCTATTAGGAAAAATTCATTCGTACCCAGGCTTGTAAATGCCCGGTTACATGCCCCTCACATGGGGGGCGCGGGTGAATGAATTTTTCCTAATAAATAAGCCAGCTAGCATAACTAGTCTACCAAGAATGAAAAAAAAAAAAAAATGTAAAAACTAATCCAAATCAAAGGATGCTAGTAGTAAGTTACTAACCAAGCACTCCAGGACCACCATGATCACCATAGTATATGAAAATATGATCATTCGGACCGCTATCTACAACTTTTCTGCTACCTCCTGTGAGTGCAATTCTGTTCCCAAGGATCACAGCGAAAAAGTTGTCGACATAATCCTGGTCTACAAAAATTCACCACGTGTGAAATAGAAATACAGTTTCAACAATCAAATTATGACCAAAAGACTTGAGAATAACACAAACCTTAGGAACTCCTTTATAAACATCCTCTCCATGAGGGTTATTAATGATGACTCCAGGCCTAGGGTTCTCTTCACTTTGAGCAATGTCATCATACATGAAAATGATGACATTTTCATCTTAGAGACCACCTCTCTTGAGGATTTTATATGCATGGCATAAATCCGCCTAGTACAAAAGTAAAATCCCTATATCATATTGATTGTGAAATGAAAATTACAAAGATGATTATATCTAGATATCGTATAGAACCCCTTTCATCTCTACAGGTTGCGTGTAAGACTAAGCATATTATTATAGAAACCATGAAATATGATTAAACAATAGCAATAAAGTTTGTCAACATAGATTAAGGACATAAATGACGCTGAATATAAAAAAACTCGGCTCATCTTTTCCCAGTCCTTGCATAGGGTCATAATGATTATGGGATTGTTAGTAGGAACTCAATTTTAAATTTCTTAGAAACTCATCAATTTTTCTTTAATTTCTGTTTACTCTTCTTTCTGCACATCACACTTGAAGTGAAGAGAAATGTGTAAATATTTTCATATCATTAGAATCTTCATGCCCCAAGAATTTTGATTTTTAAATACCCTTGCAGGCATGTAAAGTGGCCGATTATAATCTTCAATGAAAAAAGAGAAAAGAAAAAGAAAAGACTCATAGGTCCAATGTGAATGCCATTTGTTTCTATGAATGCGATGAAGCTAAAATAGTTGTCCTCCTCACATAAAACAAAACAAAGCAAGACCAAACAAATGAGGATGCTGTATCATATATCTTCAAAAAAGATGTAAATGGATTAGAAATGCAATAGCATAATGGCATTATGTTACTCATTTTCGTCAGCTGTCAAAAAGAAATGACGATTGCAAACAAAATAAATTATAAAATTCTGTGAGCCAGTGAACTTCCTAATCCAACAATTACGTACATCATGTCAAAGATAACTATACCTAACATAAGATCATTTTCAGTTTCTTTTGGTAAGATAAATTGCCAACTTCTTTTTTCAATTCTAGATTACTACTATATATATGCGTAAACTGTGTAAGGAAACCACACCCTTCTTCACTTGTAACAGAATTCCAGATAAACATATAAATTGGTCCTCTTGTACTTGATAGACTTCTTAACAACCAAATTTGAAATCTTGACGTCTTAGACCTAAGTATGGAACGAAATCTAAGTAGTGTATACCCCACCCCACCCCAAATTATGGAGATTATTTTAGCTACGGACTTTACAGAAAATACCAAGATTTTTATAAAGTTGAACTATGACAAATTCACTCTCTTTCGAGAAAAAGCACAACAAAAACCAAAAAGAGAATCCTTTAAACATAAATGAGAAACTGTGTGATTCTAAACAGAATTATAAAATCAAAATTCAGCCAAAAAAATAAAAATAAAGAAAGCATTTAATTTCAATCATAAAGAATTTAATAAATATGTGTCTTAGAAGGTTAATCCCCTGGTGCCGCCGTGCCGGTAATTCCAGTAACCGGTGGAACCAGCTAGGAGGACGGCCCATTTGGTCTCCAGGGCATCCTCATTGGCTCCACCGTTCTTGTCCTCAAAGCGGCCAAAGACTTTGCGAGCTTCAGACGGCAGCTTGATCAATTCCGGCCATCGGGGACGGCCAGGATCGAAAGCGCTAGGAGGAAACATGCACTGACAGCGAACCGAATCATCGTTGTCTCCGGTGCAGAAATGGGTAATATATTTGGAATTGGTGTACGTGAGTAGTCGAACCTTTGAATTCTTAAGCCCAAAAATACACAGTCATAACTGTACAACTATATAGCGTATTTCCGCAAATTGCTAAGGCGAAAAATAATTGGGTAAATTCTGCGTTTTGTCCCAAACCGTTACCTTTCGTTTCCGTTGCATCTTTGTTTCCAACCTTCTATATATCACATTTTTGTCCCCAATCTTTAATTACTTAACACAACTCATCCCTAATGACCATAAAAATACTGTTTTGCCCTCTATTTTAAATAACATACAGAAATTTAAATCAGGAAATTCAATGAATTAAAAATAAGGGATAACAAAATTAGAGAATATCTAATAAAATAATATAAATCAACACGATGGCTCTGGTGGACAAGAAAGGAGAAGAACGCCTCTCAACTGCCGATTGCAGAACCACTAGTAATGACTTGAGGATCTACTAGATAAAATCGTTTTTTATTATAATGTCTACTACTACAAAGTACCATGTAGCAAACACTATTGTGTACGACTATTCATGGACAGCATGAACTTACCTGGAAAATTTCACCCAAAAAGGGATGAGAAGAGAGGAAACAAGTTAAAAGGAGCTTTTAATAAATCATACATCATTTTTTATGCTGTTTTTATTTGATTTTTACGAGGTACAAATATAAAGAAAACTAAAACAAAACCACAAGGAAAGTTTAAACAGCAATAACCATTGCCATTCACAGCTTCTTATATGAAAAACTCGTGGTGGTTCAATCCTCTTTTTTTCTCACTCCTCAATCCCAGACGAGCCACCCCATTAGCATTTCTTGCACATATCGTAAAGTAGCATTTCTTAAATATTTAGCTGCAGATCGTGTTGACTCTTGTTTTGCAAGAAGAGGCAGATGACAGTGCAGTCATCTCTATTCGAGTTTGGAAACTTGCGTTTCCAAGCAGCAGTCGAGGCATCCACCACTGCTTTTGCAGCAGCCTCTTCGTTATCGGCTGAGGCCACTATGGATATGACTTTATCATTGTTAAGCACATCCCACACCTTACATCAAACATAAGAAGCAAACTTAGTTCCATAAACAACGTTAGTACTGCGAAAATCGAACTTTTAACAAGAGTTGTGGCCTTACCCCATCTGTAGCCAGGACAAGAAACTGATCGTTTGTGGATATATGGTGATATGAGATGTCCGGGATGGAGATGATGCCGTGATACTTGAGTAAAAAGTCTCCAAAAGCTCGAGACATGGCTAAGCCAGGAGAGTCTTCATGGGGTAGCCAAACTCTTTGAATATGTGGTTCTTCTTTTAGTGCTAGTACCCTTCCATTGCACTTTCTTATTCTCTCAGCCTCCCCTGCATTAAAATTTGTTCGATGAACATCTTATTGTGTTGTGCATGTGGCTCATATAGAGTAGAACACAAGCTCTGAATCAAATGGGCCGATGCCGATACGGGAGTATTTTCTGTACGAGCCTTAAAGTTTTATATGGGCCCAAGCTAGGGTTAGTATAAATAATATGTTGTAACCCTATTTTGCACAACTGAATAAAGAAATCTCCGCTTCGCTCTCGTGGACGTAGGCACATTGCTGAACCACATAAAATTCTTGTGTTCATTTTCGTTTTCATCTCTTTAATATTGCGCATAAAATCCAACATATTGCATGATAAAACGATTCATAAATAACGAGTTTTTGCTACAATTAGAGATTTATCTATATAGGTCTGCATCCATTGGACTTATTTTGGGTTGAGCAAGTGTTTGTTTAGTGTGTTCTTAGAGACATTTAGACGTGCATTCTTACTAGACATGGTGCGTCCAACATAGGATTGCAAGGGATCTTACCGGGCACTTCTGGTTTGAAATCAGTACTTAACTGAACAGCCTTTATTCCATTCTCAGTCTTTGTTCCCAAAATTGCTCGGGAATCACCAAGATTTGCAATAACAAGATCTCCCCCCTGTCAAAAGTTTTGACAAATCAATAACATAACAATTAACATTGTATGGTTCCCACAAATTCACGAACAAAAACAAAGAGGAGCACATTATCCCCGGGTTTTCTTCAATATATTTAGGGAACTTTCCCAGGGGATCGAGCGAAGGACTCACTTCCCGAATGAGCTTAACCAGATTTGCCCCCAGGTGCATTAGGAGGGCGCATAAGACAGAGACTTCCATTCCGGATAATGAAACAGAAATCTCAACGTGGCTTTTTTAATATCGTACCTGTTTTACGACAACAACAGCAGTAGTTCCACTGCAGCAGAAATCAAATTTGTCAAGAAGCTTGAGTTCCTTGTCCATCACTTTAAAGGCACTCAAACCAGCCTCTTTCCATTTCATGAAATTCTTGCTTGGTACTAATTCACCATTCACACTTCCGCTTCGTTTAAGAGAAGATGTGTATATTGCTGATGTGCTGATCTTTGCTATTGCATTTCTCTGGTTAAGAAGCAACAATGGCAACCGGTTTCTCACTAACTTGCTCACAATATGACCATTTTTGCCATGTCCATCAAAAACTCCGCAAAAAGCTCCATCTTCAATTCCATAGCCCTGCCAAAGTAAGAAGTTTCATATTCAGACATGTCGTAAATATGTATTTTATGTATTGGGCAATATTAAGGAAGAAAAAAAGTTAAAACCATGATCGTTATACTATACTGATGCATACGAAACATGTCCTAAGAGCATATGTTATTTTAAGCCAAAATTCGTCTCGGCTTTCGTACTACTATCCTGCATTTGAAATAAAGTCAAATCATGCATAACTTTACAAAGGGTTTGTGAAATAAGATTAGTATTTCAATAATAATGACTAGGTTGAACATTTAGAAAGTAAGGTCCTGTTCTCTTTACCGTTTTCGGGCCGTTTTCTGTTTTCGATTTTTCAAAACGGTGAAAGCGTGTTCTCTTTCCCGTTTTCGAAAACGAAAAAAAATTTGTGAAGAAAACACAAAACGACTTTTTTGTCGTTTTGGATGTTTTCAGTGTAAAACTTGAAAAAACTGAAAACGCGGGAAATGAAATAAAGTCAAATCATGCATAACTTTACAAAGGGTTTGTGAAATAAGATTAGTATTTCAATAATAATGACTAGGTTGAACATTTAGAAAGTAAGTTTCTTGTTTCCAAGAAAAGACATCAAATATGAGATTTTTCATGCCAATTTGCAGGCTTCAGTATGCCACTCATCACTCGTGATCTTCGTTAAGCCAGTTAAATGTTGTCCAGTCGAGCCTATCAAACACGTAACAAAGCAGTATTGACATACCTGATAGAGAATTGCTGAATCCTGATTAAACCCTTTGCTTCCTGGATGAGAATAAGTGGAACCGATTACATGTACTCCATTTGTATCACCGATTTCTCTGTAGTATACAGCATTCTCTTGGCCATATGCATCATCATGTATCTCAGATGCAATAGATGCACAGATTCCCATATCAACCTTCGGAATTTTTCTTCTTATGCATATACTGTTAGAATCCAAACACAAAATCAGTCTCCTTAAATAAGGGGTGTGGACCATGGGAATATGCGAATTGGCTAAAATATATAATTCTTGAAATAAAAGCAGTGGCTCCCAGCAAGTTGAAAACTATAATTTGGTCCAATAATTCAATGTTTTTAGTTATTTGTTCTAGGATACCCCAAGATTCATTTCAAGGGGCATCTCAGGTGTTCTTTTGTAATACCTAAGAGTTTCCAAAGTAATAATGTATATTTAAAAGTTATGTCTTGTGTAAGCAATGGAACTTGGGCAGAGTTTGACTTCTTGTAAGTTTGAAAATAAGAGCAACAATGCTTATAATATCATAGAAATTTACATGTATTGAATAACTTCTTGGTTTCAGATTTTTCTACTCGTCATATCAGTGTTGACGGCTTATTTTCGTTCATCTCATGGTGTAGTTTTTATTCTCTTTTTAAGAACAAACCAACGACTAATTTCTGATTAAAAAATTAATTTATCTAAAAGAATTCTGGATGGCGGTCGTCTGAGATGCAGTGACTTGCCTTTTCAAACTACCTTATTCCATTAATTGCTCGTAATTGTTACAACGACTTGAAAGGTTTTTTTGTGTTTTTATTAGGGAAAATTGCAGCCAAGGTATCAAACATTTCGTTTATTAACAGATTTTGTCCAAACCTATTATTTGTGTCACCATAGGCACCAAACCTTTACAAAATTTGCAGCCCAAGTCCAGATTAACAGTTTCTATTAGTGTTCATCCCACTCGATGCTGCTGTGAGTATGATTTCCTAGTCGCATCTCCACCTAAATCTTCAGTCATCGCGAACCACCCGTTTAGTTCATATGCCACCCACACATTATCCAAACTTGCCTCTATCCTTTATGAAAAACCTCCGATCTAACTCCACATCGTAGGTGTAGCACCCAAATATCCAGTACACCCTAACATTTGTTTTGTTTTGTTTTGTTTTGAAGGAGATGCGGTTTTTTATTTTCCTTTTTTAATTTTTTATATTAAAATTATAAAGTTACAATTTTACCATTGCCTTACCTGGTCAAAATTATTCGATTTTTAATTTTTGAGGCTAACTTATAGTTTTTGGGATCAAACTAACGAAAATTGTCAATTTAGACTTGAACTGCAAATTTTGTAAATGTTTGGTATCTATGGTGGCACAAATGAAAAGTTTGGACAAAGTTTACTAATAAACGAAATGTTTGGCACTTTGACTGCAATTTTCCCTTTTTATTAATAAATTTTATTGGTGCTTTATATGTTTGACTCACTTCCAATAGTCTGGGTAGGCGACACCATCTTTACATATTGGATACAATTTTGTGTCTTTGCATATTGGACACTATTGCACATCTTCCAATGAGGCTCTAAGCATTGTCAAATGATAGCTGCACTGTAAGAGAATTTAGGCCCACACTTCACATCATTCTACACATGTAACAATTTGGCAAAGCACACATAGTCGAGCCCCCACGACTGAGCTACCATGGTCGAGACCCCATGGTCAACCCCTATTAGCCGAACGCCATGGGGAGCCGAGCCCC